AAACTTTTATTATTAGCCTAGGGAACTAATGTACCCTAATATTTTAGAAATTTTTAAAAAATTTTCGAAAAATTTTTATTATTAGCCTAGGGAACTAATGTACCCTAATATTTTAGAAATTTTTAAAAAATTTTCGAAAAATTTTTATTATTAGCCTAGGGAACTAATGTACCCTAATATTTTAGAAATTTTTAAAAAATTTTCGAAAAATTTTTATTATTAGCCTAGGGAACTAATGTACCCTAATATTTTAGAAATTTTTAAAAAATTTTCGAAAAATTTTTATTAGTACGGCCCTTTAGATGTACGGCCCTTTAGGGTGAAAAATAGTAAACTATTTGAGAAAATACGGTAATAATGAGATTCCCATCAATCCAAAATATTGAAAATATTGGTTATCTAGGGTGCGAATATCGGGATTACGATTTTATTTCCCTCTCAAATTTTTCGAAATATTTTCTATAACTGGTACTCTCTTTATTGGATTTATTAACTTTCCTTAACTATTTCTTTGTAGAATTTATTGGTTCTCAAGATCTGTTTCTCAAGATGCAATATTACTTATACTAATACCCCCACTTCCGAGGATGTTGGGAATGGAAGTGTAATTCTCCCACCAAGTAGAAGACAAGTTCACTTAGAATATTACCAACAACTCCATCACCTTTACAACAATTCTCCCCAAATTCTAGAGGAATTCAAAATTCTTCTAATATGGTCTGTAATTTACATTAGGTAAATTAATATATTAATTTTATGCAAATCAGAAGGCTAGGGATCGGCACGGGATAAGGAGTCTGATTGGCCGGAATGATATCCTCTATACTGATTTTTTTAATATCCAGTAGGGTTTCTGAATATGAGGGATAAATCTCGTTCTTAATAGTTGAGATATCGTTATTTCAATATTATACCCCTTCACACTTTTTAAAATACTATTTCATTGACCGTCGTACACTTAAGAAATTCTATTAAGAAAGGGTATCGAGAATCAAAAAATCCCATACTTTCCAAAACATTTTATAAATAAGGGGCACCTTACATTCTAATTTTTCTTTACTTAATAATATAATAAATTCTTTTGTAGAACTTATCTTACAACGACGAAAATGTTGGTTATCAACAACCACCCCCTGCAAGCCCTTTTGAAAGGCGTCGCTCAGTTCGACGTCAACTACCTCCAGAACCCCCAAATATTCAACAATATGATTCGACCCCAAAGCTTATTATCGTCAATAATAATTCCTCACATCAAATAACTAAAAGACAATTGAGTGGGGAAACAAAAAGTAATAAAATTGAAGGAATAGCAACATTAACTATTGAAGAAAATGTAAAGAATGGGAATGGTTTACAGAGGAGTTGTTCTACTAGAAGTACACGTCGAACAAAAGGAATGGAAGGAGAGAAGAATATGAGAGGGACTAGGTAAATAAAATCAAAATTTGGGTAGTTTAAGATTCTGTGGATTCTGTGGAGCTCTCCGATTCAAGGTTGTCAACCAACCGCTCAGCTATATTACTACCGATTGAAGTTTTCATTTTCAAACTGCTAATTAGGGCTCACTTTTTCGAACCGGGTCGTTCGAGTCTTTTATGGGTCAAAATTCGAACCGGGCCGGCAACTCTACTGCTAATGTAAGCTCGAAGGAAACCTCACCGGCTAGACCACCCGAATATAACCCACAACGGCTATACTCCCCCAGATATTTTGTGAAGGGGTTATAAGGAGAGCCAACGCTTTACGCAAGTATTAGGAGTCATTTTACTTTCTTCGGAGCTATCTTTAGTCGTGGGATTACCCAAAATCACACACAATCAAAGCCTCTTTAAATTAAAATTTTATTAATATTCTTCAGAGGTTCAAATGCTTCATCAAATTTGCCTCCAACACCCTGGACTCAACATTCATTAGAACAACAACAAATTAATTTCGAAAATGATTCTAATAATGTTATAACCTTAGCTAAAGTTATGCGGCTCAGACCTTTCGGTCTAGCGCACCTTCAGAGCGCCGGTTGGGGGAATTGGGGATTGAGTGGGGGAGGCGCAGAGGACTTAATAATTAATTGGACTAGAATAGATTTACTAAAACATTTATCTTATATTTAAAATATACAGATTAAATGAGTTTTTGGTTCAACATAAATATTGGGATAATGGAAATAGTGATATAATAGGGACTAGGATAATATTGGGACATTGACTCTTCTGGGACTGAACACATCTGAACTGAAAACTGTCATTTGTTGTTCAATCCTTTGGTTAAATAGTGGGGAAAGTGGGAGGGAGGAATTGGAAAATACAAACTGAACATTCTGGGAAAATTGGGCGTATGATTGGGATAATGCTGGGAAAGAGATAAAACAAAGTTATTTACATTATTGGGAATGTGTTGGGAACGGAGAAGTGTTGGGAACGGAAATAAGAATAAATGTGAAAGGTGAAAAATATACAAAGTGTAGATAAAAGGGAAGGATAGGATGGGAAAAATTAAATAACAATAAATGTACAAATTGAAGATAGAGGGGAAGGATAGGATGGGAAAGAATAGGTGTAATAAATATATTTAGTTATGTGAAAAGTCGAGGTCGGGACTTGGATAAATTTGTAAGTATCGAGTCTCGAGTCTGGGGCTTACATCTCCCTACCGCCAATAAGCGCGACCCTGCGCTTACGTGCGTGGTGCTTAGATGGATTTTTGAAGGGGGTTTTGGAAAAAGGGTGTTAGGAAAGAGGGGTTGTGAGGTAGGGGGGGATAGGTATAGAGGGGAAAGGGGATAGAAATATAGGGAAAAAAGGGGGATAGGAGTGAGGGGATGTGTGATAGGGGGATGGAAAGGAGAACGGGATTTTACAAATGGTGACTCAAACTTAATTGGTCCCCGTTTGTGTTAAAATTTTAGGACATAGCGCATTACTCGATCAAATGGTTACCTTTTTTCATTGGGCCATTTGAAAGAACTTACTCACATGGGAAAGGGATAAGGTGGGGTGGAGGGGTGAAGAGGAGTATGAAAAGTTATTATTTTTGTTTTAATTACTTTTCAAGTATTTATACTAAATTTTTGGGGGTTGAGGGAGAAGGGGGAAGAGGGTTGAAGGGGAAAGAGGGTTGAACGAGAAAGAGTGTTGAAGGATGAAGCTGGTTAAGGGGGGAGAGACGGGGGAAGAGGGTTGAAAAGTTTATAGAGTTTTTACTCTCTACTAACTTTTCATTAGATTGTTTACAAGGGTTTTAGGATCGGGAGGTTAAATATGGCTTCAAATCTGCGTTCCCTTAATTTCTGTTAGACTCGATACTTAAATATAAGGGGAAAGGAAAATCAGAACCAATTAAATATAAAATATAGATTAATGAGGGGAAGGAAAAGGAAAATCTGGGATTAAATATTTTGTAGTGGAAATAACTAGAGGGAGAAAGGAAAATAATTTGAAAATTACAAATTTGGAAGAAATGAAAATATGATTGAATTTGTTTTTGTTCATCCGGTTTCATTCTTCGGTCAAAATCATTTTGTGTTAGAGCAATTTCGAGTTCAGCTTGAATTTGTAAGCAGTTGTGTGTTCAGGGAAGCATATTGTGTTGAGAAAGCAATGGAATATTGTCGTTGAGAAGGGATTGAGAAAGGCATATTTTGTTGAGGAGACATTTTGGGTTGAGGAGGCATATTGTGTTGGGAACGGATTCGAGTTCAGACTGAATTTTATATAATTAGTATTGGAGTGGGGGGTTATGTTATTATTAGGATAATTAACTTAGTCCTTAAGGATTGCAACTTAAGTGAATGGGAATTGGGAAGGGAATTAGTAGATTGATTGTGTATCCAAAATTATTGAAAAGCTGTCCTAGTCATCTTTAATAATTTAAAGAATTTCTAGTTACCGAAATAAATTTGAAAGGGTTTTTATGATTGAAGGGGGTTGGAAGTGGGATTTAATGGCAGTTCTAATTTCTTTGGGATGGTAATTTCATATTGCTTCCCTAAAGGCTTTTTATGGAATATAACTGGTCCTTGAGGTTTTTGGACTAAATGGGATTGGCATCTCTAAGTGTTAACTAAATGATGGGATTGACGGAAAATTCTTTCGAATTTTTTTTAAGGTCTTTTACATAATAACAGGTCCTTGAGGGTTTCCTTAAAATGGGATTAAGGGGATGGGATTTTTAAGTTTCATTGAATGATGGAACTAATTATCAATTCTAACTTCCCAGGTGTAAGTAAATAAGATTATTTTCCCTCAAGGCTTTTATGTAATAACATTATGGTCCATGAGGTTTTGTTACAGTTAATTAGGATGGGAAAAAAGTAGGGATTTGTTTTTGGTAAACTTATCACGTCCATATTCTTTGAGAATAAGTTGAGTTGATCGAGTTCATGGTTTTCCAATGGTGAGTGGAGGAGTCAATATAATAGTTGGATTATTGTTGAATTTGTTGTAGTTAATAATCGGAGCAGAAAATATAAAAAAAATGCGCGTAAAAATAAAAGTGAGAGAAGGGGGATGAATTAGTGGGGATGAAGGAGGGTTGAAGGGGGGAGAGTGTTGAAGTGGGGGAGGGTAGAAGGGGGGATGAGGGTGGAAGGGGGGATAATGTAGAAGGGGGGATGGTGTAGAAGGGGGGATGTTGTAGAAGCGGGGGATGGTGTAGGAGTTAAAGAGGAAGAGTGTTGGAAGGATTCTTAGAGAATTTATGGGAAGATTTGGAGGTTGTGTTTTACTCATTCTAGATTAGATTAATTCATATTTAATAATAAATTAATTCTAATGGATTTCTTTACAATTGGGTTCAAAAATTTATTGGTTTTTCTGATTTGGAGTTTTGGGAAATGGGGGGGGGGTATTTTTCCTAATTAGCTTAATTATGATTAATTTCAAATTAATTCTAATGGATTTCTTTACTTGAAGAGAGGGGGAGAGATTGTAAGGATAAGCGCTTGGAATAAAATGTAAAAAATTTATGTCGGAAAAAAGGAGGGAAAAATATTTCAAAAATTTTCATCGATTAAAAATTTCCCAGGATAGTTGATAGATTATATTAAAGGATTTTATTAAAGGATTTATGTATTTTGTCATTGGAAAAAATGGTGTAGGAGTTAAAGACGGAAAAATTGGATTATTATCGGAAACTGGAAAAAATTTTAATTTATGTATTTTGTCATTATATGATTTATGTATTTTGTCATTGGAAAAAATGGTGTAGGAGTTAAAGACGGAAAAAATTGGATTATTATCGGAAACTGGAAAAAATTTTAAAATAGGAAAGAATTGTGTTCTCGTTGGAAAAAACTTTTTTAATGGAAAAATGTAAAAATCGAAAAAAATTGATCTCATTGGAAAAAATTGTAAAAATTGATCTCATTGAAAAAATTGTAAAAAATAGGAAAAAATGTATTCTCATTTGAAAAAAAAAATTTAAAACTTGCAAAAAATTGATTGTCATTGGGAAAATTTACTGGGATTTCTTTGAAAATGAGGGAGGTGAAAATGAAAACGGTTAGGTTATAATCTCTCCCTTTTCTCTCTCTCCCTCTTTTTTAATTCAGATACTTAATTCTGATTAAAAAAAAAACTATTATTTGGAAATGAAAGGAATTGTTGGGAATAATGAGTTAAAGTAAAGGAATGAAGGGAGACGTGGGAGGGGGATGAGGATATATTTAAAAATATTTTTAATTCAGAAACTTAATTCTGATTAAAAATTGTTTTTGATGAGGAAGGGGGGGGGGGAGGGAAGAGAGGTAAAAATTGCTAAATAAAGTATAGGGAAGAGAGCGGGGGTGACCAATACCTAGAGGGCAGTTGAACCATCAAAAAAAATTTTAAGGGGAGGGACTGGGTTAACCATGGCCTAGAGGGGAATGAACCATCCGGTGCTACCAGTTATGCGGCTCAGACCTTTCGGTCTAGCGCACCTTCAGAGCGCCGGTTGGGGGAATTGGGGATTGAGTGGGGGAGGCGCAGAGGACTTAATAATTAATTGGACTAGAATAGATTTACTAAAACATTTATCTTATATTTAAAATATACAGATTAAACCCCGACTCGATTGCATAATGATAATCATTTCTTATAATGTATGTGTTAGGTTCTTATTTTTTATTAACATACTCATAGTTTCATATACCATTTTTATATAGAAATGATATTTTATGTGCCGAATACCAATAGAGTTTTCAAATGAGATTAGGCATTTTCTCCACCCCCATTTGCCTTTTCTCTCCTTCCATTGTCTACTTGCTCCAAGCTTTTAATTTAAATAGGAGATAGAACAAAAGTAACTTTTTAAAAAATAAACAGGCCTGAAGATTATTTAGGAGACGGAGATTTTATTAATTAAAAAAATTTTTCTTATTCGAGAGCATTAATCTACAGTCCTGATCATAATTAATTTCAGTCATAATTAATTTTAATCCACAACCTCCTTTAATAAATACCTACTTCCGTTTACTTCCAAATAAATTTTGAAAAAGGAAATCTCTCAATTTTTAAATTTTTAATTAAAATTATTAAATATATAAAAATAAATTTGACAATATTTTAAGAACGAAAAGCATCAAAAATAAAAAAAGCAAAAATGGGTGGCAACAAAATCAAATAAAAAATTTTAAAAGAATAATTCATCAAAAAATATAACTGGGCACATAATTAATTTAATCATCATTTTCCTTAACATCATTTTCGTCCTGTACATCCAATACGTGTAGAGTTGGTTGACACCTACTTGAGGGGCATTTTAGTGTGTGGACGGCTTTGTATTCTTTTCCTTTAAGGAAATTTTTTTGAATTTTTAAAAAATTTTCGGGTTACCCCAATGGTCCATTGTAGATTTCCATTGATCCACTTCCGATTTATCTGAAGCCAGTTCTCCAAGAAATACGAAACCGATTGTATCATTGCCGGTTACGGAACTGGAAAATAATTTTATAATAAGGAGGATTATATTTTTTAATATTTTGAAGAATGTAAGAAAATGCAGTTTTGCGGATTTTTTGTGGATATTTTAAAATTATTCTTTGGCTAGAAATTATATGTGTAGGTGAGAAAACAAGCATCAACATCCAGAAAAAAGTCAACAAAATTTTATCACCAAAATTTTTTCAAAAAACGAGTGTTTTTTGAAGTTTTCAAAAATGTCCGCAAAAATAATCCGCAAAAAAAGTCTGCAAAAAAAATGTCCGCAACAATTTAAAAAGTCCGCAAAAAGAGTCCGCAAAATTTGAAAAAGTCCGCAAAAAAAGTCCGCAAAAAAAGTCCGCAAAAATTGAAAAAGTCCGCAAAAAATTAAAAAAGTCGCAAAAAGATTCCGCAAAAAAAGTCCGCAAAAAAGGCCGCAAAAAAGTCCGCAAAAAAAGTCCGCAAAAAATTTTCTCTAAAAATTTTTTTCTTATAATCCTATAGATATTCTTTAAAAATTCTAATTTTAAAATTCACCGAGACAAATCATGAACAGAAATTGTAATTTTAGTTCTAGCCAAATCAGCTTCTCTAGTACTAACCAAAAACATTACAGCTTCTTTATAGACTGCTGATGTTGTATTTTTAATAATTCTCGAACATTTTACAACTTCTGGGCCGTTAGCCTGTTGCATTCTTATACGGATTTGGACGTCGGGGGCTCCAATAATTCCCCATTTTGGAAGGTCTTCAACTTTTATTAGATTAATAGTTAGTCTTCTGTCTGCTTTTTCAATACATGTTGTTATGTGGAGTTTGCCCAACTAATTTGAAAAAAAAATATTAAAGAGTAATAGCAGGAAAGGGTCGGAATGAGGAGAAAAGTGGAATCGGATTTCGTGTTTTGGATCGGAAAAAGCCAAGGCTTTGGGTCTCGTGTATCGAGTAACCCTACCCATCCCAAGTAACCCGACTCATTCTTGGTCTGACCTCTAAAGGTCTTTCTCTAACCCAAAAAAGTGTCGCTTATAATGAGGTGTACATTAAATAGGGGGTATCACTTAAGCAACCCCCTATGGCCAGCCAAATTATTAAAAAAAGTTTATCTTAAATTAAGGTCTTATAGTACAGGGTGTCCCAACTAAAAAGCACTATTTTAAAAATTAATAACTTTTTACTATGTTGACAGATTTTAATGATTTTTGGTATTTTATTTCTATAATTTATGAGAATTTTTTTGACATAAAAATTATGTCTAAATTCGAACCCTAACCCTGTATTTCAATTTCGTACTCTACCGTTCTCTTTTTTCCCTCTTTTCATTGTGTGCTATCTTACTTCATTTATTTTCCTGTGTATGGCGAAGAGTGGATACTGTATTGAAAATGTAGTGTCTATCGCCTAGTGTTTACTCTAGTGTCTATCGCCGCTCAAAAAAAACAAAAGGGAGTAAGAATGCATGTGCGGAAAAAGGGAAAAACAGAACGGTAGAGTACGAAATTATCTCGGGTTAGGGTTCGAATTTAGACAAAATTTTTATGTCAAAAAAATTCTCATAAATTATAGATATAAAATACCAAAAATCGTTAAAATCTGTCCATGCACTAAAAAGTTATTAAGTTTTAAAATAGTGCTTTTTAGTTGGGACACCCTGTATAATGCTCTCTGGCCAAAAAAAAGTCCCTTATAATGAACTGTACATTAAATAGGGGGTATCACTTAAGCAACTGCCAGTTTTTAAATTATCACCTTCTTTGCAGCAATAAAAAACTTTAGCTCTTCCACAATTCTCACTTCCTTTTTTGTTTGTAATTGTGGGGCTAAGTCTCTCAATGGAATTCGAACCTCCCCAATATCCAAATCTCTTTGCAATTTTTGATTGCTACTGTGGCATACTTCAATTTGTAATTGTTTTAGTTCAATTTCTTCTGTTGCGAAATTGTCGAAAAAGAATTCCTTTAAGAAATAAATTTTTTACTCTACCATTTTTTTATCAAACAGTCAGACCCCACTACAGTATACACCTCTGGGCCCGAAAATTGTCCCTTATAATTGGATGTAGTATATTAAATAGAGAGCATCGCTTAGAAAGCTCCCTCCAATATCCAAGCCTCTTAATAAGCGTACCTTAAACAGAGGTGTATCTAATATTGGGGGTACCTTATAATGAGGTGTACATTAAATAGAGGGCATCGCTTAGAAGGCTACCATTCCCATCTATATAATGACCAACCGAATTTTAAAAAAACCCGCATCCTAAATAGAGGTATCCCAGTGTTGGGGGTATCTTATATATAGAGGTCTTCAATAATAGAAAATTTCAATCAAAATTTACTTGATTAAAAACAGAATCTCTCCCTCTTTTAACAACACTTTGTTGTTGTTGGGATTGTTGTTTCTTTGTGGATGTAAGCGTTAATTTACAAAAGGGTTGAATTTCAAGGTCAGGACGTAAATCGCCGGCCAAACCTTTTAAAAAATAAATTTTGAATTCAAATTTTAATTAGATTTGGACTGTGGACTTTTCGAATGACTTGTCCTGTATCCAAGTTTTTTTCTTTTAAAATGACCAGAGCCTCCGGAAACTCGCGATTTTATCAATAAATCCGGTTTCCGACTAACTGGCCATAAAGCTAGGCCCCCGGCTTGAGTGCTCCGTTCACTTGTATTTTTAATCTGTACCTTCAATTTTAAGCACATTAACACGTAATCGTTTCCGAACAGGAAAATGCTGTAGAGTACAGTGAAGAAGTCCTAAACCTCTAGGTCTAGGTTGTTGTTGTTGTTCGTTCCCAGATGTGCTAGGAATTGTGCCATTGCTTTTAAGAACGTGGACAGGGGAGGAATTGACGTTTTGGTTGGCAACTCCGTTTACGTAGAGGGAAGGGTCGAAACCTGAAAATAATTTTTAATATATTTTCTCTAAAAAATTTTTATGAAATTTTTAATTGAAAGTGAGCAAAGTGAACTTTACTATAAGCAATTTTAAATTTGGTTAGCCACTGCTTTGTGGAGTTACATAGTCAATACTCGCTATTAAAGATACAACCCATTACTATAAGGGACGACTTTTTAAGCCCTAAAGGAGTATCGTTTTAGCCCTAAGGCGAGGTTCGACCTCAGAATTATACAGCTAGAACATAGATACGTTTTCAAATCCTGGTATCTACTTTAGGAAATTCTCAAGCTGCCCAGTAGATAATCATTATACACGATACACCGGATTATAAGGTACTCTCTCTATTTAATATACATCCCATTATAAGGGACGATTTTTAGGTTTATCTCACAGCGAGGTGACATCATTTTAAAAGAATATAATTTTTTCAAAAGAAAAATTTTTCACCAAGTACAGAAGGATCAGCAGCAGATATTTCCACATCACTACCCGAACGTGAAGTAGCTACAGTAGTATTACAATTTAACTAGAGACAAAATTTTTTAAATTTTAAAATTTAAATATTTTACTAATTGAAGAACCTTATTATTATTATTTCCACTATTCATACTGTTTGTGGAATGACTTGAACGGAAAGAGGGGAGTGCTGTGAATATAGGGCCTTTCATTGTTTAATTATTTTTTAAATTTTTAAAAAAAATTTTTTTTTAAATTTTAGTGAAAAAATTGAAGAATTTTAATTTTTTTTAATCTATAAAAGTAGAAAATTTTGTGGAGAAAAATAATTTTCGAGAAAAAAATTTTAGAAAAAAAATTCAAAAATATAGAGAAGGTGGGAAGTATTTGTATTAAGGTAATGAGAGAATAAACGGAGTTTGTTTAATTTTAAATTTATTTTTGCAAAAATACTTTTGTAGTTTAAAAAATTAAATGAACTATTGGAAAATAATTAATATTTCTATAAAAAGATTTTTAATTATGTGTTCTTAAGTGAGAGAACGGACGTGAGTGTCGTAGAAGAATCGAGATAGATAGTTCGAGAATATCGAATTCGATAACCGATTTTTGTTTGAGATCTAGAATAGACCCGGTATCTTTTCTTTTGTGTAGTTCAGAGATATAGCCGACATAAAAGTGAAAATTCCGATTTAGAGAAATCGGAATCCCGATAAAAAACGTCGGGAATTCCAGATTTTCGGGAATCAATGTAGTGGTACATATAGGTAATCTGAGAAGTCCTCCTCAAGTAAAGTATATTTAGCTCACAATTTTACGTAAAATTTTATAAAATGGTAGGCAAATTATTTGAGGTTATTAATATAAGATTTTCTATGGACCCAAGGTCTACGCTATACCGAGACACGAATTTACTAGGGCGAGATCTTTCAAATCAAATTTTTTGTTCATCAAAAATAATTAAAAATTCAAATTAAATTCTGAAAAAAATCAGAACGAAAAAAAAAATTAATTTTGCAAAAAATTTTTTATTATTTTGATTAATCATTCAAAAAAAATTTTTTTTTCAAAAACAGTAAATAAAAAAATAATTTTTTTCTATTCATATTATTCCCTAAAAGGAAAGCCGCACCAAAGAAAATTGGATTAACTCTATTTTTGTTCTAAAAATACACCTAAAAATAACAAAATATAAATGTGTAGGTGGTGGAAAATTGAATGAATGGCATTAAAAATAAAATAAAAAACATCACATGAGTTGGGTTTGGGGTTATTAAGCAAAAATATTATAATTTTTTTATTTCTCGTGGGAAAAGTTTTTTTTTTAAAAAAAATATTTGGAAGATGTTTTTTGGGAAAAAATAAAAATAATTTAAAATAAAGGAAGGGCATTTCAATAAAAGTTAAAAGAGAGAGAAATGGAGGGGTAGAATCCGCAATTTTAATTTAAATCCGCAAACGTAATCCGCAAGTAAAAAATACGCTATTTTACGCAATCCGCAATAGCGTGCACACCTGGTAGAGATGTGTAGAGAGAATTAATTAATTTTATGCGTGTCAAATCAATGTGTTTCGGGACAGTCGGACCTTGATAATAATTTACCAAAAAATTTTGATGGCATCGCTTAGAGGACGTAAAAGATCCTTGGCCTTGAAGTTTGATTTAAGACAAGGGTTGTTAGCACATTTTTCAAATTTTTAAAATACGCCAAAAACAAAACGCCAAACTTTTATGTCGCGAAACTAGAAATTGGCAAAATCGCATTTCCGGGATCCCGTAACGGGATTGAATTTGATAAGATCGAACGGGAGGGATCCCACGGGATTAATCCCGTTAAGCCCGTTCGTCTATTAAATCTCGGGATTCCGGGACGGGATCCCGTAAAATCCCGCCCAGGATTTCTCCCGTGCCGACTCTACGCATAACCATACTTAAGACATTTCTTAAGGTTATTTTTCGATATTGGTCTCGGAATGGAATCCTGTAGTGATTTATCATGAAAGAATCGAGTGAAATATTCAGGCCCAAAAAATCCTATCTACTATATAATTTTTTAAATTTTCTTCAAAAAAATTGCCTCAAGGCAATTTAAACTTTTAAATTTATTTTCAACTCAAAAATATATACAGTTTACACATCATCACCATTTATCAAACATCATTTGAGTTCTATTGGTTTTCTAAAAAAAATTTTCTAACCGCAAAAAAGTTTTACTTTCCAAATGTCTTTTACATGCCGGAACAGATGCGTGCCTTCAAAAAGGTCCCATAGGGGAAAGGGAGAGAGAGAACATTTTGGGGGCAGGAAGTGGGAAAGAATATAAAACAAATTTTGGGTTAAGAACAAAGAAAGAACAACTAAATAAAACAATATATGTATTATGTAAAATATAAAAGGGAATGAATGCAAGTTAAATAATATATTGGAGTTTTTTTAGTTGTTAAAGTGCAAATAGAAAAAAAAATTTTTTTAGAGAAAACCTAAAAGTTTTTTAAATAAAAAAGGGGAAAAAATCGATTTTTTAAATATTGTATTAAATTATGGTAAAGTTTTTCGAGAAGTTTTTACTACGATAAATTTCGATTTGATGACCCTCGATTTAATGGAAATTTTCTTTAGTCCCTTGTAGTTTGTAACATAG